TAAAGGATACAGATTGTGCTAATATTAAAAATTAGGATGACCCAACGATAATGCAACAACATAATAAGACAATCAATGACTCGAGATAAGCTATAATTCCTGAGTGGTGTCCACACTCTTCGTGCTCTTCACTTGGAAATATTAGAGTCCAGCTACCTTATTAGTAGTTTCAATCATCATCCTCGAACGAAGATCCTGAAAAACACAACCATTAGAAGAGAAATTAGAAACACATTCGATATCATTTATTAACTTGCTGACAGATAACAAGTTACATTGTAATAAGGGAACATGCAAATACTCTAAAGTTAGACCGGCTGTTAGTACAACCGATCTTTTACCAGTAATGACATTACAGATGTCATCTTCAATTCTGACAGTATCTTTTTCAAAGCACGGATAGTAAGTCGAGAAACCCTGTGAACATTCAGCATGTGTTCAGTAGCACATGAATCAATAATCCACCGACTAGAGGAAAAAACTGTAAGAGCCATTGGAAGAGTATCTTGTCGGAGAAAGAACCCGCGACTCCAAGAAGTTTGATCAATTGCTCTTGTTTTTCATGGATTCGATGTATTTTAGGATGTTTTAGATAGGAGTTTGTTGAGTTGTGGTAGGATCGGACGTCGTCGTGAGACCCTGATTGCAGAGGATTTGGCCGAAGGTTTATACGCTAGCTTAATGTGAAGTTTCTAACAATTTTCTCCGAGTGTGATTGAGTTTGTGACTATAATCACAAGTAGGGCGACTGGTTTGAGATGACATGGATGAGGGCTGAGCACTTTTTGAGATCAAGGTGGACTATTCGGCTGAAGGAGTAGAAGTGTCGAGCAAGACAAATCTCTGGTTTTTTTCTCGATGAATCTCGGTGAAGGCTGCTCGTGCGGAAGGAAGTGGATCCTGACTAAAAATACGGCATCGCCCTTTGTCAAGGTCTTTGATAAGACCACCCAGGAATTGGAACATGCGATCCATTTCTACAATCTTCTGGATGAGGGATAGGTCTGTCGGAGAATCTCAAGTTTAGTCGCAGTACAAGTTGCATTCAATCCATAATGTAATAAGGTCTTGACCGTTGTTTTGCCTCCCGGATTTTCTTAGATACCTCATAGAGTTGGTCAGAGTTTTCTACATTTAAATAGATATCACGAACAATCGTCCAGAGGGCGCCAACTGAGGGGAGGAACATATATGAACGACTAATCGAAGTCTCCGTGGAGTTGATCAGCCACGACATGATCATGTAGTTCTCTACTCCCCAAGCTTCATATGACAGTTCAATTTTTGGAGGCTCACGAACCATACCTGTGAGGTAACCAAACTTTCCACGTCTTTTGATGAACAAAGGCACCGCTTGGGACCATTGGAAAAAGTTATTATCATTTAGTTTATGGGCTGTGGTTAAGAAATTCATGTTAGTTTCTAATCTTTTGGTCTTCAGGGGAGCGTAAATTTGGGTTGATCCCCGGGTGTAATCAAGAACACCTTCTGAAGGTGGTTTAGAGTTGGAGGAATCCGTCATAATTCCGACCAAGCCAAAGGAGATGTGGTTTTGATCCATCGATAAATTTTGATAGGGTTACGAAAGAGGAATACAAGAAACAATGGTTGATGTAGAGAACAGTAAGAAGGGGACTCGGATCCAGAACTATAGGAAACAGCAGTTGCACGGGGTTGCAGGAAACAATGGCCGCGGGCTGCTGGATAGTGGGAAGAAGCTTGTCGAATCATCGATGGCTGGATCAGGGGAACCGACAGCTGCACAGGGACCAACAGAAATTTTAACTACCTTCACATTCCATTCTAGTTTTAAAAAGCTTAAGGATTAACAAAACTAACTAAGAGGTGGTTTGATCTATAGAAAAACCAATGTATCGTAATCATTTTGCATGGGTTTTAAGAATTGTAAGTACGGTGTAGATTATGACTGAATTTAAAATACATTCTATAGTTCATTTTATCAGTATTTAGATTTTGATCGATTTGACTGATTTCTAAATTCATACTTTTATGTAAAGTGTTCTTGCCTTTCACGGGTCGCCCACCATCAAACAACGACCTTCACAAGATATCAGATGTTGCTCGCCTGCCCGCCGCATTTACTGACCTCCTCCGCCGCCGCTGTCGCTGGTC